TTGAAGTTAGAGAATTAAATATACGGTTTATTGTAAGTACAGATCAATGCTTAAAAGTTTGTGCATATTATTAACCTATATTTACAACTATGTGAATGTTAATCAATTGAAGAATGAATTTAAACTTTATAAATGATGACTTGATAGACATGTGATGTGAATTCAGACGGAACCCGTGCGATAACACATACTCCCTCCGGTCTCATTTATAAGAAAAAATTAACTTTTTAGATACATTGAATAAGTAATGTATTTGGACAATATATTGTCCAAATACATTACTTATTTAATGTATCTAAAAAGTTAATTTTTTCTTATAAATGAGACCGGAGAAAGTATTTCTTACTAGTTTAATTTAAAAGAGTGTAATGAATATCTAAACTACTAACTTAAAAATTTCATTTAATATTTAAATTATAAATGCATGATAAATAAATATTATTTGTGTAAAATATACTAGACATTAATATTACAAATGATGAAATATTATATTTTAAATATATAAAATATTTAATAAAAATTAGATCATATTATATAAATAAGTAGTTATGAAAATAGCATACAAATTATTGGAGAAGTATTTAGTATAACATAGCTTATGAATAAATAACCATTAGTAAGCAAAGGTTGATAGTTAGTTAAGAACTCTAACTAACTTCTTAAATGTTACAAACTCTCATTTGCATGGCTTCTATACATGTATTCCATGCAAGATTCATTCATTCGACTTAATGAACATGGTTTAATGAAAACTCAAGATGAATTAGGTCTAATTTTAATATAGTATTTTCTCCATTATATAAAAGTGTTTTATTTATATTTTTTGGGTCTCAAAATAACTGTTCTTTTACAATATAAATGTAGTGTTTATTATTTGTTTTTTATCATTATATATTTTTATTTATTAACTTTTACTTTATTTAATTAACCTATTATATAATTAATAGGAGTATTTTAATAAATAATATTAATTTTATCATTAAAATTAATATATTTAATTATTTTCTTAAAAATCACACGTTATTTAAATATTAACATTTTTTATGAGATATATGAAAAATATCTATGCAGTAAGTTCAAAAAGAGGGTTACATGTTAGAAGGTGTATTGAAATATTTCAAATTCTATATTAATTAATTAAAATATTAAAAAAATTTATATAGAATAACACTTTTTATCTTATAATTTTAAATCGATTTTATAAGAATGAGTTAAAATAAATTCTAATACTAATAAAATAAACATACTAAAAATTTAAAACATATTACGTGCTTCCAATTGAAAAAAAAATAATCCGAAATCCCTTTTGATATGGCCAATTTAAAAGAAAAACATTTAAATGCATTCAATATTATTTTATGCGATTTTTGATTTATTAAATTAATTTAAAGTATTATATTATGATTTTGTTCTATTCGTGTTGTGTATGTGTGTTGTTTATAAAGTTATATTATATACACTATATAAAAATAAAATTTTCAAATGCATAAAATACGTATTTCATCGTTACAGTCTAGTTGAGAATGACATCATTAACATATAAATAAAATTATCTTTAAATTTTTTGAAAACATCAGGACAGAAACAACATTAATAAATATATTAAAATATTTTTAATGTTCTATTAACATTCATGAATATTTTTTGTTTTCTATTATTTATGAAACAAATTAATTTTGATTTAGTGAATTTTATTATCTATCAATATTTTAAGTGTTTTTTATTAGTTGAGTAGAAAGGGATAAGCATGAATAAATGATAAAGGGATGTCCATGAAGAAATTTACAAAACTGAATTTCATATTATATTTAAAAAATGTACTTTAATAAAAATAAAAAAGAGAAGCTTCTATTTCCTTTTTCTATTTTTTTAATTGGAAGTTATAATTATTTTAGTTATATATTTTAATTATGATAGGAGTAAATTTTTGGGTGAAGTTGAGAGTAATTTATCTCAAATGAGGTATATCAATATTGTCACATAAAATAATTTTTTTTTTTAAATTATATATTAACTCAAAACTTTAAAGAACTATAATTAAATCAAAGAAAAAATATCATTTAATCTTTGAGTAGTAAAATGTTGATATATAAAATATGAGTAATGATTTACACATTGAATAAAAAAATAATATCATAGATCAAATATATAAAAGTTTTAGATTAATATATGATGATCGTGGCCTTTTCCCTTTTTTCTTTGTATTGAGTTATCACTTCTTATGCTCTAATAAAAATTAATTATAAAAAAAAATTTATACATAATTTTAAAAGTTTATTTTATGTGAATTTTTTTATTAATATACATCATTTAGAATAAATTAACTTCAACTTTATACGGAGTATCCTAAACCTCGCCTTTAATTATTTTATATCATGTATATTTAAAATAATTTGAATATAACCCATAAGAAGAAAAAAAATAAAAAGTTGACCGTATCTCTCATTTTAGCGTTTTTATTTATGAATGATGAATCTTGTGTATTTAATTCAATCGATTAATTTTTTGAGTTAGAAAAAACTAAAAATATTTTATTTTTAAGATTAAGTATTGAGTAATACATTTTAAAAATAAAAAATAAAAAGTAAAATTATTTTTAACTATGTTGTGAATCTTAAAAGAATTATAAATACTCTATCATTATCAATCACAATAATATTATCAATCTATTTTTTATAAAAACACTTATCCTCAATATTTTCAATGGTAGATGACAAAAATGCATTAAATACACATAACTTTATATGTTTAAAGAGATTAATAATTGATAATTTTAAAGAGAGACTAACTTATACATATAACTTTATATGTTTCAGAGTACTATATTAGACATATTTACAATATTTAATTATTTTCTGGCTAATGTTATCAAAATTATAAATTTAGGGGGCGTAACAAGATGGAGATTTAGATTGATTAGAAGAAAAAATTGTTCCATAAAAAATATACACAGCTCTATTCAATTTAAATGTTTTTATTTTAAAAGTATTGATTCGACCTAATGATATATTAGTTTAATCCAAAACGGTCTATTGGATATCAAAACTACTAACATAAATTTTTTATTTAATATTTAAATAATAAAGATATGATAAATAAATAATATTTGTGTAAAATAAACAAAAAATTAATATTTCAAATGATGATATATTATATTTGAAATATATTAAACAATTAATAAAAATAGATTAAATAATATTAATAAGTAATTATGAAAATAACATACTAAAAAAGTTAGCATATTAAAAAATAAAATATATGCACGTGCTTCCGTTTTAAAAAAGAAATTCAAAATCCATTTTCATATTATCAGTTAAAGAAAAACACATTTATTACCAATTTGTTTCCGCTTTAAAAAATATATTTTTTCTTTATATTTTTGATAATAAATTTTATAAAATTGTTTTTTAAAATATTTTATGATTTTTTAATTTTTTCTAAATTAAAATATTAATTTTAACATCCTATAACATAAACATAAATTATTAAAAATCAAAATATAATCAAAATCGTAATTTTTTCTAAAAGTTATATTTCAAAAATGATTTTTATGAAAGTCAATTTAAAAGTTTTAAAATTAAGTGATTTTTTTTATTTAAATTTTGATATCTAAAATAAGTTTCAATAAGAAAATGAAATATCTAAAATAACATTTTAAAAATAACTATTCAAACTAAATTTTCATTTAAAGCTTTTATGAAACGTCTCTTTATAAATTTTACTACACAAAATTGTGTAACACTATAAAAATCATTTTAAAAAAAAATCAAAACAAACAAACTCAATTATTTTATGTGATTTTTGATTTATTAAATTACTTTGCAATTTTAAATTAGGTTGTTATAGTTTCGAATATTTTTAAATCTGTTTTTACATCCACAAAAAAAAGTATATTTTATTTATAATTTTTAAAATATATAAAATAATAAACTTTTATTAAATTATGTTTAGATAATGAATAAACATAATATTAAATAGGGACATATAGATGAAAAATATTTAACTATATATTTTTATATTTATTAATGGAAAATATTTTTCACATGTTTAAGTAAGGAACATAATCAACGGAAAATATTTAGCTTTATCTTTTTGTATATTTATTAGTAAAAAATATTTTTTATATGCTAATATTTTTCACATGTTTAAATAAGAGGCCTATTAATGACCAATTTTTGTCCCTATCATCGTATAAAATTTGTCCCTAGAATCTTCAAGTAACAATTGAATATATTTTTGTTTGTAATTTTTATGAAATAAATTAATTTTGATTGTGTATTTTGTTATCTATCAACAGTTTAAGTGTTTTTATTAGTTGAATGGAAAGAGACAAGCATGAAACAATGGTAAAGAGATGTGCATGAAGAAATTTACAAAATTGAATTTCATATTTTGCTTGAAAAATGTACTTTAATAAAAGAAAAGCTTCTATTTCCTTTTTCTTTTTCTACATTGGAAGTTATCATTATTTAGGTTCTGTATTATAATAATTTATATCATGTATATAAGTTAGTTTGAATATAACAATTTGAAAAAACAAAGTTAACCTTAACTCTTATTTTAGTGTTTTTATTATGAAGAATCTTGTGTATTCAAATCTATTCACTAATTTTTCGAGTTAGAAAAGATTATCAATATTTTATTTTTAAGTTTAAGTATAAAGTAAATTGAATAATAAATTTTTAAAATATAAAATATAATATTTAATTATTTTTAGTTATGTTATAATTCTCGAAACAACTATAAATACTCTATCATTATCGACCTCTTTTTCACAAAACACACTATCAATCTCTTGTTTACAAAACAATTATTTTCATCTTTCTCCTTTTCTTATAGAAAAGAAATTCTAAAAGAGAATTCTCCAAGACTTGAGAGTGCACACATAATCTCTCACATCATAAACCTAAACAATGATCAACCTTCTTCAGATAGAGTTATTGAGCTCTCTGAATAGTCAACGAAAGACAACTCCTCGCCCCCTCTAAACTGAAACCCCCATGGTTATAATGGAAAACTCAATTGCTGACATGGAAAACATTGTTCTTGAGATCCCTATTGGAATTGATGTTATGGAGGCCATAATTAACGTTGTTAGGAGTCATGAAGATAACATAGACGTAATGAAGGGTTCTGGTCTTGTCTATGAAATTAGCCTTCTGGAACCATGTTCTCGTGTCCCAACTTTCCAATTGGATGATCCATTTAATGTATTATCTAAATTGGACTGCATTAAATCCACATGGTTTATGTGTTCCTCATTAACTTACCAATGATATATTATGTATCGTGTTTTCCCTCAAACTCTCTGGATCTCAAAGACATGTGTTTCGCAAAGTGATTCGAGGTAAGATTAATGATTCCAGTGACATTCACATTTCAGCCTCTCTTTTCAAAAGGCATGAATTCATTAGGGTGGTCACCACTGATGGGAATGTTCAACTATTTAAGGATGATGACATCCCAATAATTGTCGGTGATGTCGATGATGTTGGTGTTGATGCATGTGAAACTCTATATGAATTAGATGACCGAGTTCTCCCTTAGTCATCATGCTATTTATGAGAATGCCATGCACATTTTTGAGTACTTTCCAGTCGTTTTGTGTTGTGTGAGATGCATTTTGTGATAAGGAATAACTTTGCACATGATTTGGTGGTCCCAAGTAAAGATTTATATGATTACCAATTACAGGTCAAAGTTCCATATCAGACCTCAAGGTATCATGTTCATGCTTATGCCAAATGAAATTCACTCGTGCGTTTTGCAATTTTCTTTTCACGGCAAAGAATCAAATGCAAAAGAACCAAATCAAAAGGATGATTGAGCTGAAAATGGCATGGTTGAAAAGTTGAGGTCATGGAAGTGAATTACAGGTCTGGCATCAGGTCAAGCATGTTATGTACTAACTTTTGTGCACATGTGGCCTTTGAGAAAATTCAAAAATGGATGGACTTAGGGGCATAATTGATGTTTGAATTCTGAAGCAAAGTTGTAGAGGATATCAAATGTGACATTTGGCTCAAAGTAGAATCCAAAAATGTTGATAATTGAGAAAGTTATGATCTTTGGACCAAATGATATGCCATTCTTGATTTTAGGTCAACCAACCATGTGCCAACTTGTAATTTTTGACATTTCCTTGCATCTAAAGGCTCAATGATAACCACTTGAATAGCAAAATGAAGGAAGCTTGATTGTCTCTTGAATAAACTTTATGATTGTTTGAGAATTTAATGAAAATGACATGAAAATAAACACATGAACCATCTTGGACTACCTTTGAAATCATACATTAAACTTGAACTTCTCTTGGTCAAATGAAGTTGAATAAGGATTGACATGAATGTGACCTAACATTATAGGTCATACCTTGAAGAACAAACTCTTGAGGACCACTTGTTGTCCAAACCTTGACCTTGAGAACCAAACCCCTAATTTAGAAATTGAGCTTGATCCATTGATTGTAAATCCCTACCTTGAACAATAAGAAAAGAAAACAACGCATATTTTGGTATTTTGAATAAGGTTATCAAATCATAAAATATAAACAAGTAAAGATGCAAAAATAACCACAAAGGGTGCTTGGTGATCTCCCTAAAAAAATAAACCCAAAGAGACAAAGGTTGGGAGGATACATGTTTGTGATCTTGGTGAGATGTAAATGATATGAATGGTAGAATCTTAGAGGTAAATATTATGGTATGACACAAGGAAATCGATTGCATGCTTGAATATGAATGAATTTCTGGAAAATTCCTAGAAAGCAATCGATTGCTTGCTTAGATCAGTCAATTACTGCTAGAGATTTTTTTATATTTCCAAATTACAAAGTGTTGAAGCAATCAATTTCTCATTCGAGTCAATCAATTGATGCCCCTGGGACTTAATTTTTTTTAGTGAAAAATAGACCCATCAATCGATTTCTCCCCTAAGTCAATCAATTTCTTCCTTGGTTCCTTTACACTTTCACTTGTTAGATGCTCTTATGCAAACCATGAACTCTAGGATGGTGAGAATGAATTATAGCTTTAAAATGCCATGTTTTATGAATTAAATGAGAATAGAAAATGAGCTATGATAAAACAATATGAACTCGTATTAAACCCTAGTTGGTATAAGAGATATATCATCTCGTATGATAACAACAAGATCGCCTGAAGATTCTAAAGATGCTGATGTTTCTTTTGTTATCTGATGTGTTATTCAAAGTAATATTTTTTTGGTATTTATGCATTTCATGTGCCATGCTTTTGTACCATTATGCGTATTTTTGGACATGATTGTACTATGTTGTTTAGACACTTATGTATGTATTGTGGAACCTTATTTTGCAGGTAATAAGTTTTATTTTGATGATGGCAACTAGAAAGTAAAATACTAAGAACACTTCATCAGAATAAGAGTAAATTAAAGGACAAGTCAAAAATCACTTAAGCATTTAAAGATACAAACCATGATTGGAAGGGTTTGATGAGCTTGACTAAACCAAGAAGAAGGAAAACCAAGAGAAATTATCTAAAGGCTCAAGATATCTTAAGAAGTGTCAACACGGAAGATGATATCTGACAAAAAGCTTGTAGGAAGGTTAAGGGGATGGTACACAGTGATGATGGTGGTATCAAGCGTATATTATGATGAAGAACATATGATTTGTGTTGGAATGGAAAAATATACAAGAAGTATGAAGTTATTCAGGAAACTTCATCCACCTTGTATTTCTTTTTCATTGCATCACAAACTAGATGAACTTCATAATTTGTTACAGTTCTACGATTATTTTCAATAAAAGGTGCTCTTGGAACAATTTAATATATCTTATGATGTTGTATACTGTTAGTGTTTTGTTGCTAAAATATGTGTTTTTTTTTGTTGCATGCATTTCTTGTGACTTATCAATGTTTTATTCTTTAAATTCCAGTTGATGAAGTTTAGTTTATTATATGCTATGTAGATTATTTGTTTCACTAACCTTTTAATGAAAATACATTCAATTAAATTGACATAGAAACTTATAATATGAAAATTAAGATGTATTTGAAAACAATTCTATATCAATCAATGTTTTCTAAATTGTATGCGTCTTGTCGCTACGCGAAAAATACACACAAACAGAGCCACCACTGAACTTTATTTATCCCAAGGAGGGAAAGGAAAATATAAAAAAAACCTCAAATAATGGAAAGAACATGGTCTCACAATCAATATTCGTGTTCGAGAGTCGATTATGCAAGGGGAAGGTATTAACACCCCTTATGTCTATTGTACTCAACGAGATCCGCTCCTATTGTTCTAATCAAAGGGTGTGTTTTTATTATTGAGTTCTCCTGAGTTTTACAACCAAGTGCCTATGTATACCCATGGTGCAATGAAGAAATCAGAACTCTATAGTTCTTCTCGAAAATGTTTGTTTGTTGGTTGTTTTTAGCGGACAATGTTACATTTGCATTCTAGTAGTTAACGTTGTCGCTCGACCTTTGGAAACTCACACATTGTTGTATTGCGGAGAATGGAAATAATATGTCATTTTTGAAAAGGATTTAAAGATAAAATCCCGAAGAAAAAAAGGTTTGAATTGGTTGAAGTGTTTTGCTGGGAGAATGGTCGTAAGTGACGCCCAATACAGAGACATGTAACTACTTCTTCACCTTTAGATTTGAAATTATTTGTGAATTGAATCGCGTGAAAGTCCTTGAATGAAAGAAACGAGAAGGTTAGAAATACATCACCTCATTTTTCTATAATACTTAATGGCACACGATTCACATCTCCTTTATTAAGTGATTTTTGAGTTTTGATTAAAGAAAAAAGTTTTTTTTTTAAAAGGATGCAATTCAAAAGGAAAACAAAGTCTAAGGAGAAACTTGGTCCTAATCTTATCATGAAAAGTGGACTTTGAGATTGAAATGGAATATCTAACCTAAATGTTATCATGCATCAATGGCCTTAAGGTAAGGATGAAAGGGAAACCCTAATCATATTGTCATTCTCGAATATAAACCTAATGTCTATCTTGATTCAATCTTAATCAAATATTAAGTAGAACTAAGAAATCCTAAGGAAACATGTGAATCACACAAACAAACATACTCACAACCCAAGAAAGTCTCAATAAGAAGCAAACACAAGATAAAATCCAAGCACAAGACAAGACTCAAAACAAAACAAAACTCAAGTACAAAACAAGACTCAAGTATAAAACAAGACTCAAGTACAATATTAGACTTAAGATATAAATAGGAAATCATGCTCAAGTAAGAATCAAACAAAAAGAAGCACATGTCATGTTATAAGTCAAGACCAAAACATGAAAGCAAACAAGTATCATGGTAATAGAGTACTCAAGAAAAAGCATCTAAACATGAATCAAGTAAGCATGTGAACATTTCTCTATCAAACATCAAGCCTAAGCATCTCAAGTATTAACCAAAGTAATCAAATAAAGACATATATCCAAAGCATTTCATAAGAAGTGATCCAAGAATCAACAACACAAATATTGAAGAAAGCATCAAAACATGTCAATATTAAGCACACTTCAAGTCCTCAAGGTCATCACAAAGAAGTATCAAAATAGACATAACACTTATCAATTCAAGGCATCATGGCATTTAGAAATGATTCAACAATCAACATTAAACCTCAAAAGAAAACATCTCAAATGAGCTCAAGTTTGGATACCTGAATCATGCATCAAGACCATCACACATCATCACAACTAAGCAGATGTAAGGTGTATCATGGCATCAAGAAGTTTTTAGCATAATATCTCAAATAAACATAGTGAAAACCTAATTCATGATTTTAAAACGTATTATAGAAAATCAAGGTATCACAACTTGAACTATATCAAATCATCAAGATCAAAGAAAAGGGTTCAAGGTATCATGTCATTAGGGTTCATATATTAGGGTTTGAAACAATCATCCACTCAAAAAGCACAAGCACTCAAACATTTCAAACGCGAGAGAGGAGTGAGTTTTGATGGTTTTCAAGTGACACATTCCATGCCTTCGACCTTCACACGATTTCACTAAATATTGATCCAATTCACACGCTTGAACATTGCATCATCTTTAACTATAAATAGGGACCTCATTCCATTCATTTCTTAAGCTTTTGAGAGTCAATTACACCCTACTCAGATCTCATTCGAACTCTGAACTTATAAACTTCATTTTTAATCCACACCCTTCCACCAACCAAAATTCTTGTTCGTTGAGATTCCTTGAACTTTAGCGAAGCTAGCAAGATCAAAAGCAAGAAAAAGTGTACCATATATGAAGCTCACCAAGTTAGTTTTCAAGAGGTTTCAAGTATATTTCGTTCAAGTAGAAATCACTATCAATTCAACTCAAATTTGTTGCTACAATGTAGCTCTTGGATCACTAATGCTCGTAGTATCCCTACTTTTCATTAATTGATGTGTTTGATACGTTTGTTTTTTAATTTCCTTTTAAAAATTCTTCTGGTTTTTTCCAAATCGAGTAAGTTGTATTTTATAAATTTTTCGCGAGGATATGATTGAGATCGTCTCACTCAGACGC